TATTTTATTGGTACAAGTCCTTGCATCTAAATCATCTATTAGCACACTACAAGTTGTACAATGTTAAGCATAGAAATATCAATTGGAGCATTAATAACTTTATTTTAAACATTTTATTAGTACAAGCTTGCAGTACACGCATTTTACAACCATGGTGGGGGAGTGGTATACATACATGATAGTTTATCTCTTTTTTTAATCTCCTTGCTTCTCCTCCCTCCAGCTTCCTCGAATTCCCCCGCTCCATTTTCATCCCTGCCATTATGAATCTTAGTCCGTGTTTATGGCACACTGCTCATGTCCACTGAGGGTATCAGGACCTTGTACCTGGAGCATGTGCACTCTGCTTCCCCAGCCCTCCTCCTCAGCCCTCTCCTGGTGCCCTGGGCCCTTGCTCATCTATACGGAATCCACACACACCCGCCTCCTCTCTCCTTCCTGTATTTGTCCCTTAGTTTGTACTTTGCCTTACTCAAATGAGAGATACATGACATTAAAATAAATCACTCAACATTCTATTTTCTAAGTGTATCCATTCATTTTCCCACTAATGTCTCACATTTGTCCTTCTTTACAGCCAAGTAGTATTCTGTTACGCAGATACCATAATGTTTTTACCCAATTGTCATTCTAGGATTTAGGCATTATGAACTGTGCTGCTATAAACACTGGTACACGTGTGTTACTGTAGTATAGCTTAAGCTTTGGGGGGAGGATACGTAGCAGAGGGATGGCTGGGTCATACGGAATTCCTAATTTTAGTTCTTTCAGAAATCTCCATACTGATTTCCATAATGGTTGTACTAATTTACATTCCTATCAACAATGTCGAAGCTCCTTTTTCACTACAGTCACACCAGCATTTGTGATTTTTAATTTCTTGATGACTGCCATTCTTTCTAGAATGAAAATCTCAGCGTTGCTTTAACTTACATCTCTCTGATGGCCAGAGGCATGGACCACGTTTTCATATATTTGGTAGCCATTTGTACCGCATCCTCTGTGAAGTAGCTGTTCATTTCACCTGCCTATTTCTTTACTGGATCTTCATTTTTAGGTGGTCAAATTTCTTTGATTTCTTTATGTTACGTATGTTAGATGTTAGTCCTCTGACTGAGGAATAGCTGGCAAAAATTGTCCCCATTCTGTAGGCTGTCTCTTCATTCTACAAATTGATTATTTTGCTGTATAAGAGCTTTTTAGTCTGAAATAATCCCTCTTTATTTTTGTTGTTATTTCCTGTGCAATTGAGATTCTGTTTAGAAAATCCTTTTCTATACATGTCAAGTGTTTTACCAATTTTATCTTACAGTAAGCTTAATGCTTCGATCTTTGATGCTTTTTTTTTTTTTTTTTTTTTTTTTTTTTTTTTTTTTTTTTGGTGGAACCAGGGATTGAACTCAGGCCCTTACGGTTTCCAGGGAAGCTCTTATTCTACTGAGCCATCTCCCTGGCCCCTGATGCATTTTGACTTTAATTTAGTACATGGTGAGAGATACAGGTCCAGTTTCAATCTTTGCAAAAATATAACCAGCTTTCCAAGCACTAGTCAAATAGGTTGTTTCCTCCAACATGCTTTTGGACCCCTTGTCAAAGATAAACTAGCTGGTACCAGAGAGATAGCTCGGCAGTCTGTCTGCCTGGCAACCACAAGGTCCCAAGTTTAATCCCTGGTACCACATGCCGTGCCAGCCCTGGATTCCCAGATCTGCTGTGCCAGCCCCGAAACCAGGTGTGGAAGTGCACACCTATAATACTAGCACTGAGGAGGTTGAGACAGGAGGATCGCTATGTGTCTGAAATGCATACTGAGACCCTGCACAAAAAGGAAAAAAA